TATCAACCTTTATTTGTGAAATTTTTTAAAAAAACATTATTGAGTGGTTTTGATTGCAAAATTCATATTCATTATAGGAATGTAGAAAATACAAATAAACAGGAGAAAACCCACAGCTAGTTTGTGCTAATCTTTGTAGCGTTCTGGTTACTTTTTTCTATGTGTGTATTTTCTTTTCAACATTTGAAGTTGTAGCACATATTTAGCTGAGCCTTTTCACAAATGGCCATTAATATTTTCTGAGCCATTAATTATTTCCACAGATTTCTTTTCTACGTTGTTGAATATTCTATCGTATAAATGTGCAATAGTTATTTAACTAGTCCTCACCATCAGACCCTTAGATTCTTATTTTTCATTAAAATTAATTCATAACAAATATCTTTACATAAAAAAACCACTCTGGTGTATCTCTGATACTCTTCCAAGCAAAATGTCTAGATCAAAAAGTATGACTTCCTTTTAAGTTTGTTGCTGTTATGTGCCATCAAATTGGAACCAACCAACTCATAGGTGACCGTCCAGCAGGTTTTCAAAGGCAGTTAATCATAGGAGAGGCCATTGCCCCTCCTTCTTCCACACAGCTGATAGACTTGAAATGCATACTTTGGGGATTGCAGCTCAGCTTCTTGCCACAAGGCCACCAGAGCTTCCTGAGGTTTTGGTAGACCTTGCCAGACCAATTTACATTCTTTTCCTTGTTGTCGCTAATATCGGTTCTTTAATCGCTTTAAAAGTATCTTCCTGTCAATCTGGGACAGGAAGTGGAAGAAAAACAACAGCCCTAGATAACTGAGACAGTCACCCAGGAGAGGGGAGCTGAGTCAGGTTAGGCAGCACAGGTCACCAGCAGGGCATCCAAGGGGCTACAGTGGACTGAGTGGCCTCCAGGGAGGAGCAGGCCAAGGGGCCAGACTATCGCTGTTGGAGATTAAGGGAAGCCAGTCTCGCTTCCTCTCCCACTGTCAGCTGGAAGAGAAAGGGAAGAGGGAGGGCTCTTCGTGGGTGGTCAAGTGCAGGAGAGCCCCAGAAGAAGAGGGCCACACACGAGCTCGGGCACCAGGGACCCTGGACTCGATCTGGTTTTCCATGAGCGTGAGGGTCTCAGAATTTGCTCTTCATCTGCTCTGAAGGTTCAGAATTATTATTACAACCAAACCAAAACGTGTCTAAGCAGCACAGGAGAAGCTCTTTATAGGCCCAAGGCCCCTCCTTCATAATTTCAAATGAGGCCTTGGACAGACACCTTCAACTTTAAAAAAAAAATTATGATTCAAGTGAAAGTTTACAATGCATGTTGGGTTTTCCTCTGTAGACAATTAGGTCACAAAGTAGAAGAATATTACATAAGGCTAAGAATCATAACCCTGCCAAGTTGACATGTATTTGGTTGTTGTTCAGTGCCTTCAGTCCACTGTGACTCATAGCCACCCTGTGGACAGATGAGAGCCTTATCCTCTCTTGGCCGGCCTCACCACCTCCCCGTGTTCACGCTCCCTGTTGTGGTCTGTGTCCGGCCATCCGAGGGTCCTTCTCTCTTCACTGACCTTTTTCCCAGCGTGGTGTCTTCTTCCAAAGACTGGCACCTCCTGAGATCACACCCAAAGTGTCTGAGATGAAGTCTTAACTATCGTCTATAACGAGCTTAAACAAAGCTGCTTGTTGCTGGGTGTGAGTTGATTCTTGCGCAAACGACCCCATGTGACACGACGGAACTACCCCGTGGGGTTTGCTACACTGCAGTGTTATGGAAGTGTTATGCAGTGTTATGCCAGGAGCTCCTGAGTACCTTTGAACCTCCAACCTTTCCGGTGACAGCCAGGTGTTTACCTTTGTGCCACCACAGCTCTGAGGAAAGCAGACTGCCTCAGAAAGAGGCTGTGTGTCTGAACCACAGATGAGGGGTCTGGGCCGTGGTCCTCGCTAGTGCTGTTTTGTGAGTGAAGTGATTAGTTCTCCATAATTTGTTGTGAATGCCTCCCAGGAGACAGCAAGATTCTTATCTGTGTGTGTGAGTGAACTTGAATCTGCTCCCTGGGGAGCCTCCCCCCAGAGACCCTAAGACAAGCACTTCACACACTGCCTTCGAAATCAGTGCCGGAGGGCTCGTTAATTAGCATCACGAGTGCCAGCAGCCATTTCTCGTTGATGAGATGAATGGTGTGCAAGACAGGAGGCTGCCTGCGAGCTGGTTCCAGCACCGCTGTCTGTTCTGTGAACAGCATAATGAGTAGACTTGCCGCGCGTAACAGCATAACGGTGGAGCAGCCCTGGCTCCATTTGTCCCCCCCAAGTGCCCACGTGTCAGGACTTTGGCTGCCCCACCTGGCTAGCTAGGTAGCTGCGTATGTCCTGGCCCTGCTGGTGTGCTTGTGCTGGAGAGAAGGGCCTGCTGGCATATTGGTGGCGGGGCGGCTCCCCTGAGCACTGGCACTGGCTGTGTGAACACTCCCATGCCTGCTTCTGAAGAAGCGTCGTGGGGCACAATTCAAGACTTGCTTTCAGAATGTAACACCTGGTAGCAAGGTCCCCCCCCCACCTGTCAGTTTGTCCTACTCTGGTGACGTATATGTCGCTGTGACACTGAAAGCTGTGCCACTGATACTTCAGATACCCTCAGGGGTCCCCCAGTGTGAACGGCCTTCAGCAGAACTTTCAGACTAACAGACTAAGAAGGAAGGCCTGGCCATCTACTTCCAAAAACATCAGCCAGCATGAACTTTATGAGTAGCTAGGGGAGCAAGGGCCGAGAGCGAGCGTTCTAGAAGCCGATGTGACCACAGACGACATGGAGGGAAAGAGTCCCCATCAAAGCAGAGGTGGCCATGGTGATGTGAGGGGAGGGACGCTTTCGGCCCTGCCTGTGTGGCTGAGACATGACACAGAATGAGCAGACTCAGCCGCCGTCTGTTTAATGCTTAGTGATAACCCGTATGTTGAACGTGTGAACTATGAGCCCTGGGGCACCGTGGCTGCTGTGAGGGGCTCCAGCATGGAGTGTTGTGAGGACGGTATAGCGTTTCATTCCGTTCAACTTCAAGGTGGCCCAGTCACACCTGGCACAGCACCCAGCCACAGCGGGAGGGCGCGAGGGTCTCCAGACGGCTCACATTCCACAGCTAACCCAAAGAGCAGAGGTTCAGGCCCACCAAGAGAAAGGTCTGCTGGTCTGCGTCCAGAAAGATCCCCATGGAGTGGGGCCATTGGTTGAGACCACTAAGAAGGTACCAGGTTTGGCGTTTTGTTTTGTAAGGGGGTGAGGAAGGAGACGTAGCTCGTCTGACAGCACACCTCTGGAATTGTTTGTTCATCTGTTTTTAGTTGTAAGCAGTCGCAGACTTAATCTTTTGCACCACCAAGGCTTCACGGATGCTTCCCAAAACCAAACCCAGCCGTTGAGTTGACTTGGGCTCTTAGCAACCCTGCAGTGACCTGGTGAGAGAGAGGCTGAGGAGAGGGCAGTCGGGTGAGCACCGTGTGTAGGAAAATATACGTTCACCGGCCACGGGGTTTCTCTGGGAGAAATTGCGTTCTTGGTAACTCTATAGAGTCTCGTGAGATGAGGGAATTTTTGCCATCTCCTAGTGGCAAGAAGCTGTGCTGCAATCCTGAAGGCACGCAGTTCGAATCTACCAGCTGCTCCACAGGAGAAGCATGGGCAATCTCCTCCCGTGCAATTAACTGCCTCTGAAAACCCACGGGAGGGTCAGCTGTGGGTCATTTCTGACTTGATGGTACACAACCACAACAGCATAATGATTAATAACAAAGTCTTTTAATTCATTTAATAAATGTTGTATACTTTAAGCTGCTCTCTGCAAGGCAGGTGAGAGACAGATGCTGTACAGTCTCTGCCTTCCTGAGGACAGTCGTCCTCCAGGGGTGATGGAGAAGCAAGAGATCTGGTGAAGACAGGGCAGTGGTCTGGGATGGTGCACCTAGGTCCTGTGGGAAACACAAAGTGCGTGAACAGTGTGGTTGGGGGAGACAGTGGGGTCACAGAGTCAGCGGCCAAGTTTTTGCTGCATATGCTTAAAAACACAGAGAGTAATGCCGAACTTAATTGCTTACATGTCCACTCTCTGGTCATGAGCACATGCAGGTGAACAAAGCTCCCACGATGCACCGCTGCACCCCCTCCCCACTTCATGAGCTCCCCGGCTTTGTTGAGATGATCCTTACTGAGAAGGAACAGATTGTTCCTAAACCAGAAGAGGAGGTTACACAGAAGGAAAAGATCCCAGAAGAAACAAAAGCTTAGGGCTCAGGAGTAAATAATGCAACTTCAAATAAGATTCTGATAACTTGGGAAAAATGTGTATGGTGAAGGCAAAGGTAGTATCCATAAGGATGTGAACAGCACAGTATCACTAAACAAAGGGAAGGCTCAGAGAAGTATAGAAGGATCATTGGGAATCAGGATCCTAGGGAGAAAGTGGGCGAAATGCAGTTACATTATGAATATTGAAGTTAATGTTATTAAACCTGCATAGTGGACTGGACCTGGGAGGGGAGGGATTGTAAAACAATGAAAGAATTTATCTTTTACTTTTCAAAAAGAAGAGTGTACTTGGAGAGAGGGGTGGGCAGGGGAGAAAAGTGCAACAATGAATGAATGGAAATCCAAAGTCTCTGTAAATTTTCATGAAAATTAATAATAATGAAAAAAATTTTAAAAATAAATTAAAGTTATTAAACATAATGTGTATGTATGGCCAAGTGAAAAACTCGCTTGCTTTGTAAACCTTTACTCAAATCACAACAAAAAATAAAACAATAGAAAGTGAAACCCAGGGAGTGTTCCGTGACTTGGGGCTGGGACAAGTTGAAAACATCGAGCCAGATCCCAGACGCAGTCACCTCTCCAGAATGCATTCCCTGCTGCACCACCCTCACGTCTAGCATGCCGGGATGCAGTTGGAGCTGATGCCAGCTGTGCCCTGACCACAGTGATTTTTCAAATCCACAAACTAATTCTATCTTGTTCCTTTCCATTCCAGGTCTCCTTACGATGGTGGAAGATCTCTCTAAGAAGTGAATACCGCTCAACAAAACCTGGAGAGATCCAAGAGAGTCACGAAGACTTCTTGGAGAATTCACACCTTCAAGGCAAGAGACGGGGCATATCCAGTACTTCCTGCTCCGAGTCTTTAAGCAGTGATGGCGTCAGCCCAAGAAGCGTCAGATAGATCATCATCCCAAATCGTGATGCAGAATTATGTACTAGAAATAATAGAACGTTAGCTTCTTAGAGGAGTTCTCTGATGGCAGTGTGGTTAGGGTATTCGACTGCTAACCTGAAGGCCATCAGTTCGGACTCACCTACTCTGGGAGAACAGTGGGACAGTCTGTTACATAAAGATTATAGACTGCTTTGAAGACTCAGTTTTACTTTAGGGCAGTTCTATTCTGTCCTAAAGGGTACTGTGAGGTGGTATAGGGAGCTCTGGTGGCCTGGTGGTCAGAAGTCCTGCTGCCAACGCAAAGGTACTTTGGGAGAAAGGTGGCCAGTCACCTTCTGTACATTTTACTGCTTCAGAAAACCCACTAGAAAAACACCACCAACAACAAAAAACCCACTAGAGGGTAAGCTGTGAGTTGGTGCCAGCACATAACAAGAAGTTGGAAAAGACATGATGGCTGTGGGTAATGTGGGTTCTTATTAAACAGTGTTAACAGAGCCCGAGATTTCTTTGGGGAAATATTTTGACATGTTTAAATTCTAGGTCAACATACAGACTCCTTGATCAAATGAAACATGGCAGTATAATTTCATGGGAAAGGGGGTTCTCTTGTTTTAGAAATAGCCATTTAAAAGTATAATCCAGTGATCAAATACTTGAATTCATGCATCTTGCCATTCATTGCAAGTGCTGCCTCTGCTGTTTCTTTTAACAGCAATGTTTGTCCATTTCTTAGCACTTTGGACTTAATTTAAGGCACCTCAGTGTCAGGTTGCCAGTGGTTCAAACCCACCTGTGCCATCTTGGGAGAAAGACTTAACAGTCATCTCCCATGATGATTTATCCCTTTGGAAGCCCAGGGAAGAGTCACTGTGTGTAGGGTTCTGCTTGAAAGCAGTGGGCTTGATTTTATAATTTGGACTTAATATAGAAATCCCCTCTCCTTCTCTTTTGTTTTCCTTCTTCCTAATATGAAAATCTGTGTTTCATTGACTGTGCAAAGGCTTTTGACTGTGTGGATCACAACAAACTGTGGCTGATTCTGAGAAGAATGGGAATTCCAGAATATTTGATTGTGCTTATATGAAACCTATACTTGAGCCAAAAGGCAGTCGTCAGAACAGAGCAAGGAGACACTGCATGGTTCAAAATTGGGAAGGGTGTACGCCAGGATGTATCCTGTCTCCATACCTTTTCAACCTGTATGCAGAAGAGGACTCTGGGCTGTACAAGGAGGAATATGGCATCAGGATTGGAGGAAGATTCATCAACAACCTGCATTATGCAGATGACACAACCCTGCTTGCTGAAACTGAGGAAGACCTGAAGCGCTTGCTGCAGAAGGTCCAAGATATGGATTGAAGCTCAACATCAAGAAAACAAAGATTCTCACCACTGGGCCAATTGGCAGCATCATTACAGATGGTGAAGAGATTGAGATTGTTAACAGTTTTAGTTTGCTTGGTTCCACAGTCAACATTCTCGGTACCAGAAACCAGGAAATCAGGAGACGAATTGCATTGGGAAAGTCAGCTGTCAAGTACCTCTCCAGAGTACTGAAGAGCAATGATTTCAGGCTGGGGACTAAGGTGTGCCTGATCCGGGCCATAGTCTTCACAATTGCATGCTATGCGTCAGCTGGACAGTGACTAGGGAGGATAGAAAGAGAATTGATACCATTGAGCTGTGGTGCTGGAGAAGAGTGTTGAATATACCGTGGACTGCTAGGAGAACAAACAGGTTGGTCCTGGAGAGGGTGGAGGAGTCAAGGATTCTGAAGATTCTTCTGACATACTTTGGACATGTTGCAAGGAGGGACTAGTCCTTAGAGAGGGACAGCATGTTGGGGAGGTTGGAAGGGCGGCACAGGAGAGGAAGACCCTCCCGTGAGATGGATCAATTCAGTGATTGGGGTAATGGGAATAAGTGTGTTGGAGACAGTGAGGTTGACACAGGATAGAGCAGGGTTTCGGGTTCTTATACATAGGGTCACTGTGAGTTGCAAGTGACTCGACAAGATATAAGAACAACAATATGAAAATAGGGAGCTCTGATGGCTTAGTGGTAAGGATTTGGGCTGTCAGCCCCAAAGTATGTGGTTTGAATTCGTTAGTGCTCTGCAGAGGAAAGGTGGGTAATGTTCTCCTGTTCTGTTTGCGACCTCAGAAAACCTGCTGGAGGGTCAGCTATGACTCGGTTCCAGCTCAGGAGTACTCAGCACAGCACAAGCAAACATACCATGAAGAGGAATCAAAATGGTCTGACAAACTCCTGGCCACCGTAACCGAGCTCCAGCAGTTTTCAGAATGCCATCAAAGCGTATACACTCCGGTCTGCACTTCCACTTGGTTATTTTGAGGCAAATCTGATTATTACATTATTTCACCCTAAATTATTTCAGTATGTGTCTCTTAAAGATCAAGAGTGCTTTTTAACACCATCACAACACAGTTGACCCTTAAATAGCATGGGTCTGACCTCCCTCAAAGTAAGAAATCGATTTATAATTGGCCCTTGAAAATGGGTTTAAAGTGCACACACCCGCAGATGAACTGCTCAAGTGGAAACGACATGGCATTTTAAGCGGATAACTCGCAGCCCAGCTGCAGAAACCCAGTGGAGTATTGCCATCATCTTTTCTGACTCACTAGATTTTTGTTTGTCTATTAATATTAATAATAAGTGTGTTGACATATGTGTTTGATTGTCACCCGAGCTTTGTGAAATCAATATGGTTATGTCCGTGACACAAGTGAGATTCAGAAAGGATGTGGTTTCCCGCAGTCTGCCAGCTGAACACTGACACTGCCAGGACAAAGCCCTGAAATAAGTATGTTTCATGTTGTTTTTAAAAGGCAGACTCAGGGCACGTCTTTGATAATCAGCACCTCTCAAAACACTCTGTTATTCAACATTATGGCATGGAGCACTTGGTCTTTTGTGGGGGGTGAAGGTTTGGTTTTGTTTTTCCTTAAATAGCTAAAAGTCTGCATTGATTGCGGTGGTAGAGTGGTTTGGAAAAGGACAGTGACAGAGGCTACACAATGTGACAGTTGCCATCAGCATCAGAGGATTGGTCATTGGTGTCACAGGATTGTACGTGTGGAAATGCTTGGGTTGAGAAGTTTTGTTGTGTGCATTTTTACCACAATTAAAAAGGCAAATTTTTTACTGTACACACATCTTATTTTGTTCACTCCTTTAGAGCAAGTCTTTATAAAACTCATTGTTGCCCTGCAAAAGGAAGTATTTTGGGGAAAGATGGTCCACCATTCCTTGAGTGATACTCCAGGCATACACTGTTTGCTAAATTGTAGGACAGGCGTGTGTGTGTGTGTGTGTGTGTGTGTGTGTGTGTGTATACACATACACATATACAAATACATATATATACACATATACAAATACATATATACACACATATACAAATACATATATATATATACACACACATACATAGATGACTATATACATATATATACACACACACATAGATGACTATGAACTTAGCTGCTATGCCACATGTTTCATTTTCAATTTAGAATTTGTTTTACTTTCTAACCACTGTCACAGCTACCCCAGCACCCTGTGTGCAGTGCGTGCTGATATGAAACAGTGCTGCTGGGTCAGTGCCTCTGAGCCTGTGAATTCCTTGAGGGAAAAGAGCCCCTTCAACAACATCAGTAGCACAAAGCTGATTCTTACTAGGTCAGACCCACTTCCACACCCCGCACATCTACTTCTATCAGTTCTAACACCAACTGTCCCTCCCTCACTCTCACTACATTACAGTTTAGTTCACAAATCTGTTGCAGTGACCACACAGAACTCTCAATACTCACAACTATGGGCTTTATTAAGGAAGGAACAGGTTACAGTGAGGTTGCAAACACTCGGAGTCCAGTTCTTCAGTCAGGCCACTTCTTCCCAGGAATGCTTGCCAGCAGGCTTCTCTTTGACCCTCAGCCTCAAGGCTCTAGGTCAGTGTTATAAAACTCTTTGCGTTCTACCACTTAGGGTATTTCCCACCCCCTCCAAGTCGGCCGATAAGCATAGGCGAGTTCCCTGGGCTCTGGCTCTCTGGGGCAGCCATTCTAATTCAGCTCCGCCTCACATCAGTCTCTGGTTTTCTGGGGTTCTCTGCTGCCTGGGCTTGGCTGGGTCTCCATCTAGGGCAGTAATATCTGGTCCCAAAGGACCATGGTCTCCACAGTTTTCTTGATGACAGCAAGATGCCCATTTTCTGTCTCTGAATCTTCTCAGTTTAAGCTTGGCGGGGTGGCAGACCTTAACAGATCCCCTCATCAATAGCTTTCAGACCATATTTGCATGTTCCCATCCCAGAAGGTACTGTTTACCTTATTATCAAGCTATCCCAAGCCCTTGAGGGGGCACACAGACACCTCACATTTTATAATCCTAACCATCCATGTGGTAAAAGTAAAAACCAGTGGTTGGGAAAACCATATTAAACAGTCTCCTGAACCAGAGTTGTTTCTTGACGACTCACAGTTTCCTGGGAATCTATTGAATATTCTTTCCACAGAAATCTGGCGATGGGTGTTTGGGCCAGAGAGACCACAGATGGAAGCCAGCAGTTGTCTTCTGCGGGTTGGCTCCGTGGCCCCATCCACACCTTCACTCACTCTTCACTCATTGCCGTCGAGTCAGTTCTGATGTCTGCGACCGTCCATTGGGTTTCAATCATAACGGGAGGAGGTGAGCCATCTTTCTTTCAGGGAGCCACCACCAGCAACCTTTGAGTTAACAGCATAACTGAGAGGTGTGGCCTTTGCGTTAGTTAGCGTGGACTAGAGTCCACAGATTGAGGCACACTTCGAGACGTTGTAGGCTCACGTCTGGGCCGTCTCAGTAAAGCACATATCTCAGTCAGGCCAATCACACAGATTTTTTCCCTCCCCGCCT